CTTCGAAAAAATAGATTTTTCATATGTTTTACTATGTGATCGACAAAAATTACGTAGACTTTTGTCCAGTGAGTGTAAATAGTGCTCGTAATGATATCTTACAAAAAAGGAAAATGAGTCAGCTTAGGCTGCCTACTCCATTACAGGACTTGTTATTCTAATTAAATTTTGCGTTTTGTTAGCAATAATAGGTTTACTGTAGGCGTTACGCCCGTATCGTATTAAAGACTTAAAAATCTGCGTATCAGAGTTTTAAGATAATAAACTAATTCTATAAAAATACCATTTCGACTCTTTGGGAAAGATGACGTAGAGACTTGTGAAAATCATTTAATTTTATAATTAGTATGTAGGTCACGCAAATTATGAGAATTTTTGATGTATGACAAAGCTTCCGCCATACGACTAGTTATATACTATTATATACATGTATACAGTATTTTGTAAACGATGCCATGAGCTTGATCAAACGAAGAACATATTTTCTTCTATTGTGTCTACTTGTTTTTGTCAATCTTACTGGATTCTTATGGGAACAGCAACGGAGTAGACGGTATGAGACTAATGTGTATGGGAATTCTGCGCGAGAATTGAAACTGGCAAGAAGGTCTGTTTCGCCGGAGGGATCTGACCCAGCTCTTGCAGAAACCAACCCGATTGATTTCCGGCTGTCAGAAGAAGGAGATGATATTGAGCCGACACAGGTAATCAGGTTTCTCCTCGACAGGTTGTCTTTGTAGTCTAGCGTAATTGCAGCTGACGCGTCTCGGAAATCAGTGCTCGCTGTGTGTTGCGCGATGCTGACGCTGCTGTCCAGATAGTATTTTGACTCTGTTGTGGGCGCGCGTTCAAAGAAAATGTTTACTATGTGATACCTTTTCACTGACTAGTTAGTATAGGTTTCAAAGACTATATAATAATAAACGTAACTATTCGGAGATAAATCGTCTCCACAATGGAAAATGACTTTTCCTTTGACTTCAGATGGTAATATTTATGTCTCTTTTCTTTTTGCCTTACTGTTTAGTGCGATGATATTTATAGTCATCCAGATGTCTGCGCATACGTAAGAGAAAATTGCCGAGACTATTCTTCCGGATTGATCAATTATCTCGAAATTTACTTTTGCAGCGTGAAGAAAGTCAGGGTTTTAACACTCGCAATGCTTGTACGTCATTATCGGAATATAGCGTCTTTTATGAAATTGAACGAGCTATTAATTGGTCTGTTTTCACTTTGAAAAGTTTGTTTGGCTACTTTTCCTCTTTGGATTCGTAGGTGTAGCTGCCTCGGACTTTTTCTGTCCCAATTTAAACACTATTGCTTCGAGTTTGAACCTATCTGAAAGCATGGTAAATACAAAAGGAACAGGCTTTGAAACGTAATACCATCGAATATCATAACATCGTTCTATATATTAACTCTTCTCGCTCTTATGTCATTGATAAGGCTGGTGTGACGTTTTTGGCTTTCGGAAATGGATCACCCGATGTATTTAGCACGTTTAGTGCAATGTCGAACAATTCGGGCTCTTTAGCTGTTGGAGAATTAATAGGTGCTGCTGCCTTTATATCGTCTGTGGTTGCAGGGTCTATGGCGGTAGTAAGACCATTTCGCGTCACAAGAATACCATTCATTAGAGACGTTTTATTTTTTATGGGGGCCTTGCTATTTGTTTTAATAATTATTTCGGACGGTTATATTCGCATTTGGGAAAGTATTCTGTTAATTTTGTATTATTTTACCTATGTCAGTGTTATCGTTATTGGAAGTTGGCGAGTAAGTCAAAATAAAAGACATCGATGGCTAGAACAAAGGGCTCGAGATGAGTACGCTCCCCCATCGGAGGACAGTATAATTGAAGATAGTGGAGTGCTGAATGATGATGATGATGACTACGACAATCAAGATGCTTATGGATATAACTCGTTCAGCGAAACGGATTTCCTGTTACAAGACCATGAGCGAGATGAAGAAACAGGCCACAATACAACTCCTATCTCTATGACCGCGCTGAACAGAAATTATAACATTGGTGACAGTTATTTTTCGCCATCGTCTTTCATCACAATGAACGACATTGTAGATCAAACGAGTTTCCATCACCACCATGGCTCAAAACAAAGATCATTACATAATGGAATGAGACCTTCACTCTTTGGAGCCATTGAGGTAAAGAAACAATTCTTTTAGATCGTATTGCTTTTTTCCCCTCCGATCGAAGCTGGATGCACATCATGGCTGATGAATTCTGTTAAACTTGTTTAGTTCCGCGATCTTGTGAAATCACTCAAGTTAAATAGTAGTGCAAGAGCGCTCGGCGTATTTGGCCGTAGCTATTCATCAGAATTTAATGACTCTAGAATACAAAGGCCTAGAATAGAGCGCAGCCATACTACGCCGCTCCGTGGCTTATATGAAAATCCTCGGGCTGGTATTGACAACATATATGATGCGTTCGGTCTTTCCGGTAATAATAACACTGCTCGACGTGGTGCACCTAGTCTATCACCCGATTTATCTCCGTACGTTGACATTGATCAATATTCGGAAGCAAATTTGCAGTCACATGAGACGCAATCAGATTCATCGAATACATTACAAGTGCCGCGTTTAAATCTCGTCCCCCCGACCCCATCAAGAGGAAGGAGCCCATTGCTATCTCCATTGCAAGTTTCCTATTCGCCACCTTCAATGACAGCCGACTCTGAACCTCCGGTTGACGGTTTTCCACAATATCTTCAATCACCACCATCGCCTGTCACGCCGCTTCCTTCGCCAGTGCTATCAGCTGACGTATCTGCAGATGTGGAGAATCCAGTTAATCAAAAATCTTACGTGAATTCAATATGGGAGAAAATTCAGCCAACTTTATTCCCTTCCCTTACTGGTTTCGGATCAAAATCACTCTTTGCCAAGTTCATTGCTTTGCTTGCATGCCCAGCCATTTTGCTCCTTGTTCTTACACTACCAGTTGTCGAAGCTGATAAGCTATCCGGCGATAATGAAAAACGAGCGGACGATTCTCCAATTACTTCACATGCGGACCCACCGCAAATTATACTCGAACACGAAGACAATGTTATAGATCTGTTGGAGGATACAGAGGGAGAAAACGGGTGGAGTAGATGGTTGACTACTTTTCAACTTGTATTTGCTCCTGTATTTGTTGTTGGCGTTTTCGTTGGTAAGAGGCGTTTGCTTTAGAAGAATGGGCCATTTACGTTTGATTAACTTGAGATTCGTATGTTTTTTAGCAACTAACGATTTCGACTACAAGGCCATCCTTTACGCTTTTGTCGTCGGCTCCATTCTTTCGGTACTTTATATAAAGACCACGGACGATAATCGGCCACCATCTTATTATACGTTATTCTGTTTTGCCGGTTTTGCGGTTGCGATTGTATGGATATTTATTGTGGCCAATGAAGTTGTTGGGGTGCTTCAGGTATTTGCACCAAGCGCGGTAGATGATTGTTCGTCGCTTTCCGTCATAGATACCAAGTAATTGCTTTCTTTGTGCAGGCTATAGGTTTAATAATGGGCCTGAGTGATGCTATACTGGGACTGACTATCTTTGCTATGGTAATTGCATTACTTTACATGTGTGTATCGTTCTTGTGTTCAAGTGTCTCATTCACATATTATATAACAGGGCAACAGCCTCGGAGACTTTGTGGCTAACATCACAATAGCACGTATGGGATTCCCAATGATGGCCATGAGTGCATGCTTTGGAGGACCGATGCTTAGTAAGTTCAATAAAGTTCATATTTATGGTTTCAACGTACGAGCGCTCTTCATCTCATCATGCGATGTTGCTTCCAGACATCCTCCTCGGGATTGGCATAAGTGGTACGTATGTAACATTAAAAACGCAAGAACCTTACAGAATCAGCGTCTCTCCCACATTATTCGTCTCGTCCATTGGCCTCTTCATAGCACTTGCATCGTCGTTGGTCTACTTACCTAATGTGGACTATTGGATGACGAGAAGATGGGGATACTATCTGATCGGACTGTATATTACATGTATGATTATTAATGTGGTGATTGAATTGGTTGGAATCGGGGATATTCAATAAATACGAATTGAAATTGCTCGAGAGGCCAACTGTTCACATTCTCAATTAATGGATTACTTAGCATTAAGCAATCTGAAATATGGCACTCAATTACCATTACCTTTTGTCACAGCCCAATATCCGTAGTACACATTTTAATTACATAAAAACCGAATTAAGCACACTGTATTATGTTGGTGGTGGGGTAGGTTCATGAATCTAAAAGTAAATAGAGTTTAAATCAGCAGATAATCCCTAGTCGTAATTGGTATCACTTCCAATTCCAACCATTACCACTTACACATCTCGCTACGTTCATCCAATCCATTGCTTTAACGACACAATCATTCGAGTCGGGAGCGTCGTCTTGATCCCAAAGCATGAACGACTGGAATGTTTGTGCAATGTCCCAATAACGCGTCCTTTCATCGGGGTCATTCATAGAAGTTTGTTGAGAAATTGGAGGTTGATTTGTTTCTTTAAAGATGTAGCCTGAATAAAACGAGTTTGTTAATAAAACCAGTAAAGCTACTCAATTAACCACATGTAAAGATTCAACGACCTTTGAGGTTCTCTGGAATATTTATCTGCTTTCCTAAAAGGTGTCTACCTCTAAAAGACGTTTCGTACAATTTTTCTATAGTTCACGAGAAGTCTTTGTCAATTAAGGTCATGAACGCAAAGAAACACGTAATTCATCAAACTACCAACCTCCCAGTAAACCTTTGCCGATTCGCACATTAGGATAACGTTAGAAAGACAAGATTTGAGTCAGTTTAAGTCAACTCGCAGTCTCTATACACATGGAAGGTATGCATATTTATGTCGACCGTAAGCCTTACTAGTTGCATCATCGTCCATATTTGCAGATTGATTTGTGTCCAATTCTTCGATGAGAAAATATGCATTTACGTTCGCTTTTCCATTGTACTTAATATTACAAGGGAGTAAATGCATTTCTTGAACTTCATTTGACTTTGGGATTGTCGAAATATAAATCTCGTCCATTGATGTAACCAAAAAAACGAAAATTTGCTGATCTGTTATTGTACGTGGCCGAAAAAACCCCGATGGAATCTCAATTGCCATATTAGGTAACCCCGAAAAGATGCAGACGCGAACTCTCTTACTGTCGCAAGAGAATCCCAAACACGCGAGAGTGAAGGAATGTAATTCGACCGTCGCTTTCTAAACCAGTAATTATTCCATCACATCAAAAGGCAATGAGAATGGTCTGTACTATAATTATGTTAAAATATGCGACACTTGTACAATACGAACCCGTATATAATAAGCATTGTAAAAGACTTTATCGCCAAATAAAAGTCATAATGTTGTTCGAAAGCCAAAGACATTTATCAAGTTTATTTATTCACAAAAGTCATCGTACACGCTAACACAAGACAGAAATGAGTAAATGCTTGGAGATTTTCCTTGCGTATAGTGTATTATAAATCCTGGTTGATAGCAAGTGTTTATTTTAACTGTAATGAATGTTTCCCGCGATAGTTTAGCTAAACTGTCTATCAAATCAAAGAAGAGTTGATTATGTTTTTATCGCTACAAAGATTACCCTCGGTTAACTTTTTTCTCCCTGGACAATAATTTAAAGTAGCTCACAAACAATTTTTTTGTATCATGCAGAACGGCATTTATCTCGTTCAGTCAAGAAATTGAGCCAACCCGTAGTTTGCCAATTATTAAGGACGCTTTAAATATATTCGTTTTACATCGTTCGTTACTCGCGTACATGGATTATTATAGGGTATCTTTTTATTTTTATAGTAATGAACTTTGTTAAACCAAGATTTCACCTGTAATATTATCGATCGTGATCGGCCAATCAGAAATTTTCATCTATATTGCAACTTTTTTTTTTTTTGCGGATAAACCTTTCATAACGATAGCACTGTGTAATAGATGGGATCAATTTTCTAAGATGAGCTCGTCTACAGAGTTATTAATTATTAAGTTAAACCTTGTATTAACATCTGAATAAACAAAACAATCGTCAAGTGTTGTCTTTATCTTGGCATATTGTGTTATTATTATTATTGGTTTTTAGTATCATGTCTCGTGATGTCAATATAACGAAAAAATGCCTTTATATTTATAACAGCATACCAATAAAAAAGACTACATTATAAATGAAATACATATTCACGTGAAATACACATTCCCGTTTACAGTATTAGTATTATTAATATTAAATATTGGTCCCACAAAATCCCAGTCTGCATTAGTGTAACACAATAACAGAGGGTCAATTATTAGGATGTAACCGCATGGCATTATTTTACGACAGTCAACTACCGTTTTAGAAAGACATATTCACACGGGAGGAAAAAATTTGGATTACTATTATTATCCTGTTCTCTCTCACCCTTTAAAGGTATGACATCATTCCAATATTCGATTTTTACCATCGACAAGAAGTCGCCCATGTATTCGCATTCTAATTCTCGCTATACCAAACATTTTGTAATAAACAGAATCTCGTGCAATCTTCTTTTGATAATTGAAAGTTGGAATTAATTAATTTGCATTTGGGGACTCGATTTAACTTTTACATTCAGTAACCAACACGCGTATCAAATTGTATATTAAAGTTGTTTCTTTTATTTTCAAAAAATAATAAATCTCGGAAATGAATTACATAATTAAGAAATCAAATTTACATTTCACGCAAACCGTGAAAATGTGTGGTTTATTTTAAGTCTATCTAAATGTAAATACAAAAAAAAAACGGAATGCTTAATGATGAAAACGTGGTTAAAGATGATATTAAGAGTAAATTGAATGAAGCAGTATAGAGTCGTTGTTGATCTCTACACTTCATTAATTATAGGAATTGCTTCCTCTACACATATCTTATTGTGCAATTTTCTTTGTGGAGGATGACTTCATGACTAGTAATGCTTTGCAGACATGTACAACCTTTCTAACCTTCCTTACAGTCATGGCAACTTTCTTCAGACGCTCTTCCTCGGCCCTACGAGCGTTTAACTTGTTTCGCCTTGCTCGTGTTGGCCAAACCGTAGCAGTAAACGCAAATGACCAGTTCTTGAATAATTGCACTTTGACGAAATCAAGTACAAAGAAGTAGACAAGCGAGAAACTAATGATCGAAAGACCCCATCCCCAACCAATGGCGGGTGTGAGCACACCATAGATAGAGATAAACATGGCAAAGACTTGAGTTCCCATAACAGCCACGAAGAAGATTGGTGACGGAAGATTCTCCCAAAAGTAACCGGAAAGACGTGTAGAAAAGATAACAAAGTGCGGACATGAGGAAATATGAAGATACATAATCGTCTCGAGTCTCTTGTCGTTGGGATCCCTCTCAGGAATATGGAATACATCACGTGCAATGAAGAAATGACCAAACGATGCTGCCGTGAGGAGAGCGCCGAGCAGTATCGATAGCGTTATCAGTTGACCAAGACGCCATTTGTCTGGCTGTTTTGAAATCTTTGCGTTGTCGACAGCAATGACAAGTGTTGCAGCGTCATTAAGAATGGTAATCAAAATCAAAAGAATAGCTTCCATTGTCCAATCACGGGCGAGAGTAATTGTGAAGAAGAACATCAAGAAATGTACTGTGGAGGTGATACGGTACAAGGCATATGATCGCATACGTTGGAAAATTGCTCTTGAAGTTGTAATACCATCGACGATTGTAGAAAGACCGGGGGCAAGCAATACGATATCTGCAGCGGACCTTGCGGCATCCGTACATCCATGAACGGCAATACCGACATTAGCCTTCTTCAAAGCTGGCGCATCATTCACACCATCACCAGTCATACCGACAAGTAGTCCTCTCTTTTGCAACAATTCTACCACACGGTACTTGTGTTCAGGAATGACCTGGGCAAATCCATCGGCTCGTTCACAATGTTGTGTAACTTCTTCTTCAGATTTTGTGGCATCCACCAAGTGATTAGCATCGAGAATAACACGTTGCATTCCGAGACGGTGAGCAACTTCTTTGGCAATGATCAATTGATCACCTGTAATCATTTTAACTTCAACACCGTAGCCATTGCATCGACGTATGGTTTCACCAGAGTCTGGACGTGGAGGATCGAGAAGGGAGATCATACCGACTAACTCGTATTTCTCAAGATTACCAGGTTTCGTACGGGCTACACCGAGAGCGCGAAGACCACGACGCGCAAGCGCGTTAACTGCTCTGACAGCGTCATCATCACCGCCGACCAGGTTGATTATAACCTGCGGAGCACCCTTTGCTACTTTAAATACATCTTTCGTCTCGAGATTGAGTATAGTGGCAGAAGTCATTTTGGTGGTTGGATTAAACGGAACAAAGGCAGTTTGCTTGTATCCGGGGATTTCATGTTTGTTGGGACGGTTCTTGAGAAATTCGAGAGTGCTCTCGGCGGCATTTCTTACAGCAGACTCGATTGGGTCATTTGCACCAGGTTCAGCTGACAAGTACGAGTACAATAGGATATCTTCTTCGCTGAAACCAGGCGATAAATAAGGTTTGTCAAAGGTGAGTTCGTTGAGCGTTAGCGTACCAGTCTTGTCTGAGCATAATACAGAGATGGAGGCCATTTCTTCTACCGCCGTAAGACGCTTGACGATAACCTTCTTTGCAGCTAGTTGTTTAGCACCCACAGCCATGGTGACGGACAATACAGTTGGAAGACCGACGGGAATAGCAGCAATGGTAAGCACGAGAACGTTGCCGAGGACCTTGAGTACCTTTCCATCATCAGTGTGGCGGAACTTGATCATTTGGTAAACAAAGATGATAGCGACCAACACACTCGTGATTAAAATCAAGAAATTTCCAATTTGGTTGACAATTTTCTGGAAATGACCCTGTTCGACGGTAATCGAAATCAAATTTGCTGCTCTGCCAATAAAAGTGTCACTACCGGTCTTTACGACGACAGCCAACATCTGGCCTTGCTTGACGATAGATGAAGCATAAACGGTATCACCCTTCTTTTTCTCGACTGGTAACGATTCGCCGGTTAATGCAGATTGATCGATGGAGAGAGCGCCTTCCGTTTCGCCACCGGTGACGGAAATACCCAATAACCGAGCGTCGGCAGGAATGATATCACCAAGACGAAGACCAATAACGTCACCGGGAACCAATTCTGCGACATCGAGATCGATAAAGTGACCGTCACGCCAGACCTTTGCCTTGAGAGCAAGCGTGTTTTTGAGGGCATCGAGAGCGGATTCGGCACGAGCTTCTTCAATGAAACCGATAAAAGCGTTGGTAAAGAGAAGAGCGAGAATGACACCAAAGTCGAGCTAAAGAGGAAATAAAACGAGGATTATTAAGACCAAATCGGGACAAGAGAAACGCTCAAAACGCATCTGCCAGATCGTTTATAGTATATTTACCCAATGCTTGAGAACGATCGCAAAGATGCAAGCCAGTTCGATCAGGTAAGCAATAGCACCGGTGAAATAACCCAAAAACTTTAGTAGATAATTAGTCTTCACTTCAGCAATTTCATTGCGACCAAATCTCTCTATTCGTTTTGCGGCTTCTTCAGTAGTAAGACCCTTTGTTGGATCGGTGTGAAGCAGCTCTTCGAGCTCTGGTGGGATGTCTTCGGTTACGTGGACGTGTTCATGTTCTTCTACTTGGAGATTGCCACCTTTTTTTTCTTGTTTCTCATCGATGATTTCTTTTTCAGTGACGTGTGCCGTAGTCACGGTGACTACTTCCTCTGTTATTTCTTCAGAGGATACTGTTTTCTTTTCTTCAGACATTAGGGGTTTTTTGTGTGTTTTTTAGTTTTTTTTTGTGTTATGAAATTCTAATATAGTGAGTAAAGATATATTATAGTTTACAAAGAGAAAGATAATAATGGGAAAAGGTTTCTTTTTGCTTATAATATCGTATTATTGTGTGAGAGCATATAATCTAATATACTTTTGAAGATAAAAATAATGTTTCTATCCAGCAGCAGTAAAAAACAAATCGCACCAAATTCTCGATATTAGTTTTTTGGATGTAGATTCCACTATATCAGCCGAATGCTTTTATAGTACATTGAATAGACAGATAGAGAGAACAGGTAGAATTAGTTGAAATGACTACAAAAGAATTGGGGTTTTTTTTTCTTCTGCTGGATATCGAGGCACGGATGGAATGGCTCTATTTAAAGGGTCTCGTCTCAATAGATAACAACTTTGATTAGTCGGTAGGACAAATATTGAATGATAAAAATAAATAAATAACTTGTTGAGGATTTAATAATTGTTGATTACATTAAATGTAAAAATAAAAATATTGACGATAAGCAAATTTCGGAGAAACAAAGTTGCAGATGATTGGAGGGACAAGATAAATTATACTGATTGTATACGATAATATATAAAAAATACTGTATTATGTAGTGTCCAAAATGCCAAGAAATTTATACATGGACTTTCACATTACTGCATTATTGGTACTTCGTCATATGTCCTTCTTACCACACCTTGCAACATGAAGCACTATTATCTTATCTGATCTTTTCAGGAAAAAAAAAGGTGTCCCAATCCTACCCAATTATCTATGATAGAAAGATCTGTGATGAATAAGCGATCGATTATCAAGTGAGATTGAGATGGCGACGATATTAAACTAATATATGTCATTTTATTTAATTCCACCAATGGCAATATACTGATATGTCAAATTATTACTGATGGTTCTTTTAAACATCTCACATCAAACCAGGTAGAGAGAGAGAGAGAGAGGATGAGTGAGTGTGTGAATGGGTGAGTGTGAGTGTGTGAGCGTGTGATAGATTGGATGGAATGGCAAACCATTACACCTATGTATGGCCTACAAATAAATGCATTGGCAACATGCTAATTATGAAATGTTCCCTTTTGGTTTCGTATTTTTTCTTGCTATTTGTGCATTCCATGTGTGTGTGTTTGTTAACGTTTGGAACTATCAAATATATATTGACATTGGGGTTTGTTTATGTCCATGCACCCGTTCGTAATGGATGAATAATATATAATATATTCATAAAAAGTTTTTTTATATTAGTCTTGGTTTTTTGTTTTCCGAACCGCGTTTTCGGGTCAAGTGCAAGCGTAAAGAAACCGTCACATGGTAATTGCATACTACGAATGGATGAGATTATATCTTTGATTATTAATTGTAACAGACACATTATTGTAATCTAGACCTTTTTACACACATTCTCATTCTTTTGCCCAATCCCCTCCCTCTCTCTCCCCTCTTCAAATGCAACGTTAACTCGGGTATGGTCATAAATTTACGAAAGTTCATTTCTCGATAATGACCGGTAATGATTGTCGATATGAAAGACCGAAATGGGAGCAAGATAAGTATCGGGATTACGGGCATGAGCGTTATGCGATCGATTAACTGTTAAGACGGCGGGTAACACCATGTCGCGTGATTATAGAATTATTAATATTGTATGGCAAGTTTGATGGGTGATAGGTATTACTACAGTATATATATGTATTTCAAAGTTACGGTTGGTTTGGCTTGGTTTAGTTTGATGTGGTTGGTTTTGGTTTGAATTTTGATTTGATTGATTTGGTTTTTATTTTTCCCATTTTCATGGATTAGTTCTTTGATAGGCAGGGGAGAGGGGGAGAGGGGGAGAGGGGGGAGAGGGGGGGAAACAGAAGAAGAAGAAGAAAAAAGCAAAAAACGGTATATTCATCTCTCGATGTGATAATTTAGATTTACTGCCGTTACCTGTTTTGGCAATTTTTTTTAACAAACCTTTTTTAATTCTTTACGCCCTTTCCGCTGATTTGCAAAAGATAAGAACCCAAACTACCATACTGTACCACTCATATATTAGCAAAGGGCGTGTGTGACTTTATATATTGCCTAATATTGTTTTATTCAATCGATAAGATGACCAATATAATAAAGTACAAATGACACTACCTCGCTGATCGCCGTATGAGGAACGTAGGGTCATGTGTTATAATACTCATCAATATTGGTCGGCTGAACTGCACAAAGATTAGTCATTTTTTTGCCCTATATTTCCCAATATATGTACACGATACGGAAATTGCTAACAGGGTTTACTATTATCATTAATTTGCTCACACAGTTCTGTGCATATCAACGTCACATGACCCATAGTGCATACACTCTCTGACAGTTTGAGAAAATGCCTCACACATCCTATATGTATCATATATAAAACCTCATATCGGGGGGGGTGTCTAGTCTGACCAATGACAAGCAGATTTAGATGAAACATCCTTTTTGTTCTTTGCAGAAAAGCTAAAGCGAACTCGTGATTATTTCTGCTGCCGTTACTAACCATGTATCGGCGGAAAGCGGGGTGAGAGTGGAAAAACTACAACTAAAGATGGACCAACGGGCTATTTTGATCTGATTGATATAATCTGGGCTATTTTTATCATCATCTGTCACCAATAAATCCATTCTCACATTGCCGATAATCATCCTTTTCCGCCCGCATATGGCACATTTTCCTTATCGGAGAATCAATCATTCGCAAAAACTGTTCCATGAAGAGCATGTTTATTGTTTACCGTGACGTCATGACACTGTACCAATAATGGTTTTGATCATGAATAAATTAATTGCTTCTGATGATCGAACAGTAACAAGGAACGAAAGGGTGATACAAGATTGTATGTCGTGCAAATGGCCGGGGGAAGGTGTAATCCTAATATATCCATTATTTGATTTATTAATTGTTTGTAATACTCGAGCGTGATACCCACTGTAAAGTCGATAGGTTCTCTGCAATCTGACCCTTAATATTCCTACGTTTCAAGGATATATGTCTGACTGAATGCATTGGTACGACTTGTTTTTACGCTAGAGATCGGCATTCAGTGAAAACAAATACTCGATAAATGGAAATGGAAATAATGGAGATGAGACAGGATCGTGGTATTTAATGTCCAAGACAATTAATATGGCTTGCATTCTCCGTTAATGTAGATCATGCACCCCGTACTGGGTACGAGTCAATTATCTTTCTTCATTCCAAATGTAGTAATCACTTGACATCAGTCTCATGCTGTGTAGTACTCTTGCTATAAACATCTGTTAATATCACTGTCATTAATTAAGGAGACGAGGGTGTGATATGATAAATGCTTCATAGCTGATTATAGATGTCGATCACCAAAAATCATTGGAAAGCAAATCGCGACGATGCGCAAATGAAATCACACGACTGTCCATGCTGTACAGTAAAATGATAACGTTTTGTCTGGGTTATCTCTAGTATTCGTCAAAAGAAGAAAACGCTACCGGGAAAAGGTTGACCAAAGTACTACTGTATATAACTTTAATGTCATGTTAAAGTAAATACTATATATAAAAAAAAGTTTTTTTGGCGTATCTTGTTCTTTGGGCGTTACTAATCCACGTGCGGTTGCGTAATGTGGCGTCTATTCCAGTTGTTGATAAAAGTGGAGATGTATGTGGCGTATATTATAGTTTTAATTGATGAAAAGATTAACCTATACGCATTATTAATTACTCGAGGGTACGCCAAAGCCAACAAATAATCTTAATGGGAAAGGGCGTGTCGATCACGGCCGAAGTACGTTTTCCCGAAAGTAGTTCTTACACAATGGTTCTATACATACCATGGTTTGCATGACAGGGTCCGTTCATACACGATAATCTCTCGTGTTGATAAATTGTATGTTTTTCCACAAGAAAAATTCTTTTAATTGTTCGTGTGGCAATACTGTCGGAAAGCTAACCAATTTAATAGTTCTTTGTTGAACTCTTTTTTTCTTCTTCTTCTTCTTTTGTTGCTTACCCTGGTAAACAAGAACTATTCATACATCTATAGCCCACACGCGGATATACGTCTATAGAGACATGACATATCTATCGAGTACACGCGTATAAAGCATGTGACCCATTTTAGTACCATTATAAATGATAAAAGCGACTTGTATCACGGAAATCGCGGCGTTTTATCGGAAAAAAATTTTTTATTTACCCGTTATTTATATTGTTAAAATAAAAAGATTATATAAAAAAATGCACCGATTTAATTGATATATTCAAAGACAATTGTATAAATAAAATGTCAAAGCCAGATAGCACGTCATGTCACGTACCAGTGTTTTTTAACTTGGGCGAGCGATCTTTCCAAGTCGTATAACTCGAAACCTGATTGATCGCTGATAAAGTTTAGCAATCACGAAATCTACATTCTGCGTTAACTCGGCTTGTTGGCCGATTACCAGATCGTCATTTGTCACCACTAATCGCACTGATCGTTTACAATCATATGGTTGTCCAATTCGGGTTTATTCTGACAACAAATTGATCGACTTTCAGAGCTCTCTACCTACCAAAATGAGGTTTTTAATCTAAAGCTCATTTCGGTTGCGATTTGTAATCTGTAAGTTGGTAGACGCATTACATAAGATGAACTGGTTTCACTTACGGTTTTATGCATAACCTACGCGCCGACTGTTTGATAACTTTTTAACAACTCTACAGTAACAATGGGCTCTCATCCGAATCAAAGCTGTCTACGTAGTCCCTCAACCCTGTAGACAAAGTAATGCTACATTGTTTCATAGTTTTTGACAATGGAAAAACCCTTGATCGATACACGGGGTGTTTTCGTACTGGCAATCATTTCTATCTATTATGACAGTTCGTTTTGGCAAAAAACCCCTGGTTGATTGCAAGGCTTTAGATATAACGAATTCTAGTTTTGTTGTTATCAGCTATTCTACGGAGTCTCAAAAATCTCGTACAAAGTCAAATTCGCTAAGAGATCGACTAACAAGTCACGGAAACAAACCCCAAGTTATCTGACATCTTTATTAATAAATGTAATCTGTGGATCGTTAAAATAACCGTCAAACATTTTTGTCTTAATAATTGTCTCTTATCTGAATTGACATCTATCATTCTAAACTATTTGCGTTTAATATTAAGTCATATCATCGTATCTTTGAAATGCTTTTCAATGCTATCACTAACCACACACTGATTGTAACTTTAGATTAATGCTTTTATGAATTACATGAACAAGAATTGTCACGACAATTGACTCAAGAAATTCTTGTAACTGTATTTCAGATAGAGATGAAACACTTTTTAGATAATGCATAAATCAAAGAGGCTAACTTCCCAGCGACCATCCAAACAATTTAGTAGTAATACTTGGGCCAAGATTAGAAAATTAAAATAAATGTGGTTCAGCAACTATGTTGGTGCATTTTTGGTCAGTTATATAGAGTATATCCGACATTCTCGGTTGATTTATGTCAAGGTATGTACATTGTTTTGAAAAGACCATATACATAGGGATATTTATTATATCTTAAACTAAACATTTTTTTTTCGTACATGATTCTTAACCGTTTCGATGCATATTATTGACGTATTGGAATTTCGCAAGTTACGAAATTTCCTACCAATGCTGTATTCACCAACTTGGGATACTAATTGTCACCTTGAACATTACAAAAAGGTAAGAATGAAAAGAATAAGTTGGACAATTCACCACAAGAGCATAGTACTCCAATTGACATTTCTTCAAGGCTTTAATAGTCAAGCCTCTATTAAAGCACATGCACCACTAAATTCACATGTCTCATCTGACTCTAAAGCAATAAGTCTATTTATCGAAATATTATCCTATGAATATTATCAGGGTTTCAGTCTCTTTGAGTTACTGAAATGGCAGTCTACTTGGAGAGATCAATATAAACCACAATACCACCAAGTTACTATATGGAGAAGCAAAATCTTTATCACTTTTACTTTGCCAATTTTGAATATGAAAAGAAAAAGGAGGGACAAAATAGACCGGAATACTCTGCAAGGTGAGTAAATTAATTTAGGGTATGGATGCATTGGGTATGGGCGCACACCCACACACACCCAAAACACCCAGATGGGTAGTGCAGCCAAAGTTTTTGAATGGGTTACATTTTAAGAGTTTGCATGGCAAATTATCACTTTAAAATTTCGTACGCAGCATCTATCGCAAATGACCAAACCTTTACTAGCAAAACGTATAAAATCTTTCTTTCAAAATTCTCTCGTATGTTATTATTATACAATTTTAGTAGAATTTTTTTTTTAAAATTTAAAAGTTTGAATGCTTTAAGTCATTCGTCTTTCTACTGGGAGCACAGCTTGTTCTCGCATTTGAAAGGAGGCAATCCGTTGAAATATGCCATCGAATAGCACATCACAAGATCCAAACATTTTAGTGAGTAAAATCGAATATTCGAAACGAGAAATCTTTAAAAATGAATTTACTTATCGAACTAGGGAGAAAAAGTTGTAATTTTGAAGCTAGTTGATTGTATTTTTTGGAGGGAAAGAATAAGAATATATGTTTAGTTGTTATTTAAATTACAAAATGAAATATATCTTATACATGTGCAGAACTTATAATCGAGCTTAACTTCAAAGGTATACAGAACGGTTGTTATTTGCTTATTATGCGTGGGCAGGTGAGATTTTTGAAAGAAAGACTTTATATGTTTTTACGAGTAAAATCCGCTAATTTATGGTAGTCAGTGTATATACAATTGTCGGAATAAACGTATTTACTTACTGATTTGACTTTATTTTGAGTAGCAAAATTTAGTGGCTTTCATATTAGTATTACTTACATATTACTATGGTTATATTTATCTGATTCCATAAAATAACCAACGCCAATTTACGTTCAAGGTAAAGTTACGTTTAAACGTGGGCATCTTGACTTTTATAATTTGTATTTAACAAGAACTTTGTCTTGAAGAATTATGATGACTTAATTTAACGCGTTAAATACTTGCATGTAAGAGTTGCCAAAATTAAAAAAAGTTTATACATGCAGGGCAAAAACAAAATTATTTAGTTTCTTAACGTAAACTAACCCAATATACGTGTCATAGTGTGCGAAAAAAGTTTTCGGAATGGAATGCAGAAACACTAATTAATGCCTTCTGAAATACCGATACCTCCTACTGGGAAAACATGTAAAATATCAAATCACTACATTTCTCGAACAAGTACCAATAAAATCTACCCGTTGTTACTCGAGGTATATAAGATATTAACATACACACTGCCTTATCATATATTACCGAATTATACCACTTTTACTAATAAGCTATATAAAAGTCTTCTCCCCTGTTATGCAATGACAATCTTGTTTTGAATAAAAATTTACACATAATTGCTATAAAATTGTATTGTGTTGAAATAATTATCTTTAAATTATGGTATGAAAATATGATTATATATGAGTAGCACATGTACACTCATTTATCAAACTGCAAACTATAAAACAAAAAAAAATATAAAAATGTGTTGATATTTTATACAACTACAATTTTTATTCCATGTATACATGGCAGAAAGTTTCCGAAAAAACTCTTTTCAGTTCATATGCTATTTGATGTAATCCGGTAATTTATGATAGGGCAGTCGCCCTAAAGTATAAATACGATTCTGTCGATCGTTAAATATTGTTTAAGCAAGTGAAGCTTTTATCTCTTTCGCAAAATCGCTGATATCTATAATTAAAATTTTGCTCGAGAATAAAATGAGGTAGGTTTGTGATTTGAAACTTTGTACTTACTGTTTTACTAACAAATTCTTACAGTCTTGGCAGGGAAAGGGGTTTACGCGTCTAGTCAAAAGAAAAGTCTTGCAACACATAAAAACTAGCCCGACAAAAAACTCGGTTCCATGATTTTGTAACTTGCGTAATTTGTTTACGATTTTCGTGTTAAAATGTAAGATCAAACTGGTATTCAGGATGCCTACGCTTTACCATAAATTCCGCCGCGCAAAGCGCTTGTATTGAATAAAGCTAATGAGTAATCAAACTATGTTCCATGTTTGTCCAACAAGTTCTCGTTGTACAATCAATACAACACAATATGTGTAATCTAAGTTGGCCTTAATTTAAAATCTACCACTGTTAATTTGAAATTCTTTGACCAAAGTATCGATCGGGTCACAAAAAAAGTCGCTACTGAAACAGGCGAATCTTATGTTTTAGACATTAGAATTGCTTCAACTACCAGACTACCACGTGAACAGTGTTGCACTACTGTATTATATTTGATTATATTTTTGGGTAACAAGTACAATTCGATCACGCGACACAATTATATGCAAACTATATCACAATTGAAAATTCGCCAAGTCGATAAGTTAATTTTTTTTACCACTCGGAGTAATTATTATCTCTAAATTTTGCTTGATATATCGTACATACATTGACTATTACAAGAGTTGATAAGAATCGAACGCTGAAACACAGTTTCCTATTTAAGGAACTTACATTGGTTTGACTAGATAATCTATGTGCAGATGATCTGAGAAAGAGGATCAAGGGGGGGGAGCTACTAGCGCAAGTGGGAAAGAGAAAACTATACAAATAATCTCGTGATACAACGCTTGCTAGTATAATATCTAAAGAAGGAAAAACCTTGCACTAGCCCTTATAGAAAATAAAATTCCAATGAAAAAATGTCTACACAATAAAACTTACTCTTACAGCCAACAGTCCCCGCCGACCCCACGTTCGTCTATACCGAATCTTCACCATTTTCACCCGTCCCAACGCCAGCACCATTCATATCTGCTACATCATTGTTACTACCGTTACTACCACTTCCTTCTGCCCCATCTGCAGAACTATTTCTATTCCTATCATTTCTATTCTTTTTCCCATTGCGTTCCTGTAATGTCTCAACAATATCTAATCGGCACATTGGACATCGCCTGTTCAACCTTAGCCATTCATCAACACAATCTTTATGAAAATGATGTCCACACCACAGATGGCGTAATTCTTCTTCATCCTCATACGATGATAAACAAATAGAACACACTGCGTCTTCGGGATTTTTGATGGTAAGATATGTCGGAGTTAACGAAGATAATGGCATAGACGATGGTTTGTTTTTCTTGAAGAATATGAATTTTTTCTTTCTCTTGGGTGTAGAGGGTCTAGATCCTATAGAAGACTCGTCAGCAGGCACAATATTATCTACAATAGAAACTGTTGTCTCGTCGGCAGTTGTTCTTTGAGCTTCATTTTCTCCTTCACCGCCCTCGCTTGTTGGGGCTCTATATTTGACTGTGGGGACTTTTGAGATTGCATCTTCACTAGCCCCACCCATTCCAACCGCATCGCTTACGTGCAGAATTCTCATTGCAACTAGTACGCATGGTAGACAGAAAATTACTGCTAGACAAAGAAGTATCGGGATTGTAATTATAATATAGCCGAGTATAACCCATGCTAGAGATAGCCAAAATACTGAGGGAGCACTTTTTCGACATGAATCTGTGGTAAATAGGAAGTAGTTGCCGATTATAAACCAAAGAGTTGCAAAAAGATCTAGAAAGGATTTCAGTCTTGATGCCAAAAAACATATTAATAAATGAGTTGTGATAAAAAAAAAGAAGTGCAATGTACATCAAAAACTCGAATTTGCCTCGTAAAAAAAAAGTATTACATATCCGATTAGTGATACTTACTTATCAACCCACCGCTCTCGTCTAGCAGCATTGTTTTGATCGGAACGTGTATTATTATCTCTCGGATTCAATGTCAAATATAAATTTACCGGGCATGCTATTACAACACGGATTACGTATAGTATAAGGAACTCTTTCAGTGGTTTGTCGCAATCTTGATTACGCGAGATAATAAGAACAGCGGTTGTCACAACAATCTAAGTAGACAGATACACGTTAAATAAAAAATAGTTTAAAAAACCCCCAATTTTTTCAGTAAACTCAAACAAAAAAAAAGCCTATGGTCATTGCATGTTGTCCACACCTGTATTATTGTCATAATCAGACCCAAAATCAATAGTAACTTTGAACTTCTAGAAATGGATCTGAAACTTGACGTAATGTACCCCAACCAGTTTTGTCTCACACGACGGGAGCCGGGAGAAGTAGCGGCCCGCATGGACGCAGCAGTAAGAGCGGTGGTGGGACTCTGCGCTAGAACTGTGGAGATTACGTTGGCTGTTTGCCGTTGAGGGATGGAAGGCACACTACGAACGCCACCCGAAGGAGAGGGTGACGAAGTGGGTGAAAGTGAGGGTTGTAATGTAGAAAGAGCATCAGGAGGTAAGGGAGGGGGAGGGGGAGGAGGAGCAGGACTCGTAAGAGCAAGAGCGGGACGTGTGGGAGAAATTGAGGTAGTAGGAGTAGCAATGAGAGAGGGTTCAGCGTCTCTTTTTGTTGTTAGCGGGTCACTTATACGTTTTGAAGGAGTGCTGGTTGAGACAGTTATATTGTCATCTTGTGTGGTAGAGGGATTTGTGAATGAACTCTCGTTGTTTTGGTTGGTAGCAGTATCATTGTTACTTTCTGAAGTATTCATATTTAATTGTTCCTTTTTTTTCTTTTTTACAGTAAACGAACTTTGAAAATTTTTGGTTTAGATATTACTTTTTACACTTCATTAGTATATTAATATTTATATTATGACTTGAGATAACAATAACAACCAGAAAAGAAAGTTGGAGAGAGCCGTTTAAAAGGGGAAAAAGAACAGCAGATTTTGATATCAAAATCTTCGAAATGGGAAAATCGACGCCACTATAGCACAAATTATGTCTGTTGTGCGATTATGATACAAGTTTGCCGCTTTTACTACCTTGTGGCAAAATCCGGTAAAGCGGAATAATAATAATAATAATAACAATAATAATTGGGGAGACGGACCGTTTTTGAGAACGTCAAAAACGACAAATGGTGACGCATTTGGACAAAACAAAAGGTGCCACTTTTGATCTTCTTAGTCAACAAGTAGGTTTCCGAGAGAACAACTGTGTGGCGTATAGCGTTAGATTAGAGTCATAATCGGGGAATACTGCATTTAGCATCAGTATGGACAACATAAACAATCAGGATAGTTCACACATGGATGGAAAGAAAGAGTTTATTGCGAACATTGTGGTTAAGCAGGTCTATTTCACTTGCCTTTTCGCAGTAATTATCAGGTTCACACATACCAAAAAATTACGAATTGTGTCCCATCTCGTAACAATTGCGATCAAGTTAAACAATAATAATAATAACAATAAGAATAAGGTTACCCTGTCATGTCCTGTTCAAAATTATCTTTTAAACCTAATTTCTCGAATTAGTTCTCCAAAACCACACGACATTTCGTAATTAATTGTGTAATTGATTTAAATATTGCACATCGGACAAATAGCGTTCATTGTACGACGCATCCTTCTTTATTGAACATGCATCCGAGTTCCCTTAATTCGTCCTTCTGAATTACCTTATGACAGCAGTTCATGCAGTAGAGAAGCCTTGGCCCATTTACCGCGAATAAGGGTCTCCATCGCACCTCATCTCAACCTGTCAAATTTCGTTCTTTTAGGCAATCTGCGTAAATATCGGAAGATAAATGTCTCACCATAATATATGTCTATAAATGTGGTATAACGCTTGAAATAAATTGAGAACAGAGTGAAGCCCCTCATCCACGTAGATTTCGAAAAAAGTTCGGTTCTAAATGATTTTGATGAAACATTGCTTGATAGCATTAATCTACCGTACAACTTGCAGAAATAACTGATCGGCCGAAAAGGAAAAAAAGAAAATTCTAATTAATCCCGTCTATTATTATGGCCAAGTCTTAATCCTATTGACGAATCAGAGAATATCTTTGACTTTATGTTGTTTATGTGAATTAGCGCTAACTAACTCGGTTTTTTGCTCTAACAAAATATGACTTGCGACTTTTACCAAAATGGTAATTCGATAAACAAGATCAAAGTCACGTCTATTATTATCCGAATTGGATACTTTTAAGCCATAATCCGAATTTGGCATAATGTCGTCCGACAAGTCATGGCGCAAGCTGAAAGAGACTTTTACGCCCGCTCCCCGCGACAAAGAATTTTCGACTTGTGAAACAGTGTATATCACAATAAAAGTAAGAGTGAGATCGGCAGTTTCAACCCCTTGTCTTTTGAAGTATAACATCATGCATGCAAAATGTCGAGTGAGGGCAAAAGAAAAGAGAAAGAAAGAAGGAAGGAAGGAAAGAAAAGAAGCTAGCGACAAAAGGCATCACAATGACGGCAGAACGCAGCACAATCAGCAAAAACCTATTGCGTGTTATGCAGATAGAGTCACTGATTCTTTCTAAAAAGTATTCTTAACGAACTAGTGATGATGTCATCTATACACAATTTAGTAAAATCCCAGTAGTTGAATCCATTAATGATCAACAATACATTAAATTCGATGATCTATATAAATGCGAACGACAAAACGCCGTCAAAAGGTAATAATGACTCTGGTCATAAACACTCGCAGAATTATACGACTTTTAACCGTAATTGCATAGCAAATTTATCATTTCGCGAAATCATTCCTATTATATTCTAAGGGAAAATCTGTTACTATTTCGTCTATGCCTGAACACGTATAAACGATGACTTTTAAAAGAATGCAACATTGATAGTATTTGGCGCAGGAAGGATATGACCTAATTATGGCACATTATTATGGCAAATTTCATATTTAATTGCGTACCAAAGTATCCGCTCTCTCAAACACGTACCAAAATATTTAACCACACTCTCTCGAGTAATCAAGCTTTCTTTAAAATTCCTAACTTTACAAAGCAAGCTGGTTGTTGATAACTCTAATATGCTTTTTATTTAAAACAATTTCTTGGCTGAAATACTCAAAAGAAAGAAGGAAAAGCCATTAAAGACGAGAACCTGGAGTCTGATGATGGCGAAAAGGCTGTCATACCTAAGCAAGAATCTACCGTAGCTAATACACACACTCTGTACAAATGGCATATACTTTAAACATATTTTCTTTATTTTTTAGAAGAAACATTTTTTGCAACTCTGTCAAGGAAACCTTGAAATAATGACCCATTTGTTAATCTTTTTGCGAGGCTACCTTACATAGATGAAGAAAATTACAAGTGTTCTCACGCGTTTGACATGATCCGTTACGACTTTGATTTATATTTGGAAAAACACGATAATTGACTTTGTTGTAGCTGATATATCGGTGGAGGGCCAGACTCCCAATTTCAAACTCACAGCCAGCCCGGAAGACGGATTATATGTGGGGAATTCACTATTCGTGATTTCTCGTGCATCTCAACAAATCGTTGGTGATTGAACCAAATGATGCATGGGAACTTTGAAAGTCGTTCGTGCGAATATTGATAACGTCAAGGTCAAGAGCCAATTCATCAAAACGGACTTGCGGCAGCAGCACATCTAATTGGATAGATTCGGCACGCAGTTTTTGGCCTCAACATGTAGAGGAGAAAAAGCAAGAATGCAAACCTAAACTCGAAAACAAAAGCTTTTCTTGATTGATAATAAATAAGTTGCTATTGCTATTGCTCCACAGGACTAAATCCATTCTTATAGTTAGTATCTATTACTATCTGAAAAGACATTTACTTTCAAATGAAAATTGCTCATCATTTTTGACAATTTGACCAAGGTTTTACTCATTACTAAATTTGCAAAACTAGAGACAAAAAAGGGGGGAAAAATGCTAATTCATAAAATAATGCCATAGAATCTGATTTCGTAATTTTTCCAACTCGTCTTTACTTTGGCATCACATTGCCTTATTAATTTGCTTGCATTTTTTAAAACGGTTTGTCTGTTCTTGTCAAATGCCAACATTGTCGATTACTCGGAAAGCAGTCAAGTGATCGTCAAAATTTCAATTGCATATACGTTCGTTGTATCCGCGGTGATCGTTTTTCGGTCGCGTCTTTACGAATGTCGATTCTTTGGTATAAGTAATATGCAGAAAGTGGAGCGAACGAGCATCATTAGATTGATTCATCGCGAGTTTATGCAATATCTTCCCTTACACGCTCTGTAGAAATTAATCCACGCCGTCTCATAAACTTACTTTCGGTTACATCATGGTCCAAACGTTTACTTTGCCGGATTACTGCCCACAACTGTGTCTATCGAACCAAAGTTCCGAATTCGGCAGACTTTCAATTTTTGTTTTGCTCTTTCCCAAATTTTGATACAGCATACTGTTTAAATGCTAACTTCTATCTGAGCAATTAATTTGAATGATTTAGCTGCAAGCAATTCTCTCGCCTTTTATTATTTGTATGATTTGGGTTGCCATTTAATCGTAACCTAGTGTAGGCACGTTACTGTTTAGTATAATAAAATTGAATTATGGAAGTGGTCATCGAGAGATTCTGACTGCCATTCCTGGATACACAATTATTTTGACAAATTCATTTTTTGCGGTTTTGTTACAATGTACCCCTTATAATGTTTGTATCATAAGTGGTGTATAATGTCTTGTCTAAATGAATATTAAAATCTAGTTGTGAAAAGATGAAAGACCATAACTGAGGGAAAAAGACAAATTGTCCATCAGAATTCGAGTCGAGCATTGGTTAGAGATCATCGTATGCTATTATTCGTCGCTTCGGAAGTTGAAGACTAGGATCTGCTGGCGCTGCTGGTTATTTAAATATGTGAGTAATCATACAGTGAATGTAATTGAGAAAATACACAGATGGGTTGAAACGGCTTACCTTTGAATTCAATATCACGAGGTGACGTGATGTCATTCAGTTTGGCTTGATTACCATCTGCTCTCAAAAAAAATAAAGTCAATGAAGAAAATCAAAAAAACAAAAACAAAACAACAACATAACCTGTCTATAAACATGTTGATAAAATTCGCACCAGCATCGCTCCAAGGGACATTCCCGAATCCAGTAACGTTCCTTTCTGGTCGCTTTGCTCTATTGACTGAAAAAGGACAAGTAGAAATAATCGACATAGTAAGAGTCCATTACGAATTGTCCTATTAATATTCATCTTACTTTAATATGCATATATATTCTTACATACCCAAAATAGATCCTCCACCCAAATGCGCTCCATTCATTTTGCGCCTTGCCTCTGCTGCTTGTTCTGTTGTTGCATAATCAATGAATGCATAACTTTGTGGATAATGAGAAAAAAAAACATCCAGTGTTAGCAGAGATGTAGTAAGTAAACGTTGTATTATTAATAAAATATCTATTTACCCCTTGTCTTCGAACAAATTTAAAGACGTAATCTCCCCAAACTGAGAAAAAGCATTGTGAAGTGCTGATTGCGAAACCTGTCTGAGATCTCCAACATATATTTTGCGTGTACAGAATTCTGTGTCAATATACTGGCTCGCTGCAACGTACGGCTACAAAAAAAAAGCGAATAAAATGTGCCGTGGTTAAATTTGGATATGGTCGTCAAAACATCCGGTTTCGATCATACATCACACCAACTTGAACAAAATACCTACATCATAACTTCCATCCAGTCCTCTCCCATAACGTAACTCTTCTCTTTCTCGCCCCGTTTCATGCCCAGCATTTCTGTCTCTACTGCCGCTTTCCGATCTTATCCTTCCTTTATGCCTGCTCCCACTACCACTACTACTCCTACCCTTACTCCTGCTCCTGCTCCTGTCCCTACTTTTGCTCCTACTACTCCTACTCCCACTCCTACTTTTACTTTCCCTCCTCGATCTAACTCTTTCTCTACTCACGCTTCTACTCCTCCTTGTTCTCCTTCGCCCTACGCATCTCTCTTCTCCCTCACTGTCCGAGTATTTCCTAGTCCGCCCATGCCCATAATTATTGTAACTGCTCCTCCTTCCCTTTCCTTCGTCGTAAAATCTATCCGGACTTCTACTACGTCGCCTACGATGTCTATATCGATTGTCGTCTCGAGAACGACTGCGATACAATCGATTACGACGCGAGGCGCGACTACTATAGCTGCGACGAGATTCATTGCTAGACGTTGATGGGCTGCGATGCGAGTTTCGACGAAGCATACGACCGAATTCGTCGACTTCTACGTCAGAACTGAAAGCATGGATAAACCGAGGTTAGCACAAATGAAGTAATAAAGCGTAATGCGTAGACGGTGTTTATGAATGGAAAGATCGTTGAGACAGGATCAGCGTTAGCATTTCGTTCGAGTATAACGGAATTGGTTATGCTTTTCGTAATCGTATTAATCGAAAACCTACCCATCGTTGGAGACAGCAGCGTCTTCGGACATTTCCTCTTTAAATGTTGCTGGTTTATTGCTTATTTTTGACTTCGTATCCTGTTATACAGAGATCGCGTATTCCTCGGTGTTATTATAGTCTGATTTATGCCATTATAATTATATTTCACTTATACATTATTATAGTCTTGCAGAATAGTAATATTACCATTAATCTTATAGTTAAATGAAGAAAGAGAAGCAATGGGCATTAAAGCCGCATTTGAGAAGAATGAGCGATAAAAAAAATGACGACGAAATTAGGGGAAAAAAGGTTTGGGCTTGTTTTAATACAAGAAAAAATTTTTTTTTAATCATTATTCTGGACACGTGGATTGTGAGGATCGGCGAAATTTCCAGTAAACTGACGAAACTCTCTCGGGCAGTGTCCACAATTATCAAGTTTTCAACACAACAAAAAAAGGAAAACGGTTAACGGCCATTCATTATGATGTAAGAATTACTTTTTGATTCGTAAGCCGTCACCGATTTACAATTATTCCCTATCTTTGAATGTGAATGATAGAAATCGGTTTAAGGATAGAAGAATGCATGAATGCTAATGCTGATGGTGGCTAACGAAAATTACAAAAGTATTAATCGTTTTGTTGTATTACGCGGAATAAGCAAAGATTAATAAAGACCTGGATGTGACAATTGAATTCTGGACGCGTATTCTGATGGCAAAGCGCAAATTAATGGACTCTTATCAAGCATAAATATTGTTAGGATGTTGCTCATTGTGACAATTGCTAGTTACACGATGAAGGAAAACGGCCGATAATAAAAAAAGAAGGATGTATTATCCTAAAAGTAGAGAACAATGAGATAACGTATGGTGATCTCCCAAACACACGTGATGTGACCAGGGGAGTAAGCGAATACGCGTTGAAAATAATTACGGCTTGTATTGCTCGTAAATGTCCAAGTGGATGCATATATACATGTACATGTCTTTGAGTCAACGTTCTGCGCGATCCACACAAAAGTTTTTGTCATTTAATCCACATAGCAGAGGTCTGAAATTGAAAAAAGATATTAGAAATGTTTATATGGCCATCGCTGAATGCTATTGCAAGAGAGAGAAAGCCGATGCTTTAGTCACGACAGTCTGGCAAAATTTGCAAGTTGCAGTCATTCTAGTATACGCATTGACCGTTGTCTCATTGGACTGATGGGTTTTTTTCTTTTGATTAATGTAATAAATAGTATTTCGGGATAAGCATTTATTATTTTAGGCTAATGAAAAAAAATTACATTTTCCAGAATTAAAATTTGGTATATTCAATACAAATTCGGTTAACCTGTTTTGCATCATATCCACATAAACCAATTTCTAATTCTGGTTTTCAACAACAATAACAACATCCACTTCCTCGCCCACCACTCTTTCCAACTCGACAAACCATTCCTAGCACAATACTTGCGGCCATAAATATTCCAATACACAATAGACCGATACCAGAATATTTTAATGTCTTATACACGGCCACCGTACACGTTCCAGTGCACGACTGACTTGCTCCACTCACTGCACTGCTAGTGCTATTTCCAACTGGGCTATTTGATAGCGCATTGTTAATATCGGGGTGCTCACATAACGATGGACATTTTGCCGGCAACTTTGCCGCGAATCCAATCAAAACAACTCCAGCCAAAATAAATAAGGCTGCAAATATTATGAGACAGAACGTACAGCTACATCGCATACATCCACACACAGAACAACAGTCCGCCCATTCATCATCATCATGTTTCCTCGAAGAATCACTATAGCGCTTTCTTTTCGAACCCGTATATGAAGGGGCAACCATTGCTGGAGCGGTCTTGGTCGGACGTTTATGAGGTTCCATTGTCGGGAGCGATGGTACTATGCCATTGTCTTTTGGTTTATTCGCCTCCATTGTTGGAAGCGACGGTACTATACCGTTTGATGGCTGAGTGGAATGTGTTGGTGACGGTGGGTAGCGTGAATGGGTTGCTGACGGAGATGGAGGAGACGCATGATAAGACGCTGATAGGTTTGAATTAGATTTCGTCGAGTGCACCGATGGAGCATATTCACGTCCGTACGGTTGTTGATGACTCGAGTATCCTGTTGGCGAAGAAGGTGAATATGGCGAGGAAGGCGAATACGGGAAAGAAGGCGAATATGGCGAGGGAGGCTGCGAATTAAAACCGGTTGGTGGTAAGACTGAAGGATATTGTGGTGACGGTTGGAGGTGTGGAGACGGAGGTGGGTGTGGAGATTGTGTGCGGACAGACGTTGGAGAATATTGAGGAGGATATTGGTTCGGTGAAGGTGGTGTTGGCATTGAAGCTACCGGATACGGAGGATATGAAAGGGGATCGGAGGGAGCATTGGGAGGATACAAGTTGTGGTTGGGATTACTATTATTATTATTATTATTATTATAGCCGTCTTGGTAAGCATAGCGATCGCCATAAGGTGATGGGGGGTTTGGACTTGGTGCGTGTGCAGGATAATCATAGCGGTCGTTGTCGTTGAAAGACTTGGTCCGTGGATAAGGGTACGCCATACTTAGTAATAAAACGTCCTCTTTGACCGAATTAATTACAAACTACTTGGGCCGTCTATATTACAAGTTCAAACGATGTTTTTTATTAAAAGTATTTGGACAACCTGCATCACTTGCTTAAAGAAAACCAAGCTTGGTTGCAATCCACAGTAAAACAACGAGAGTATGAATTTGTATGGGATAAAGACAACTTTTCCAACGCTCCCAGTTTGATAAAGGCACGGAGGTGGGTGGGGGGCGATAAGCTAAATTGTAAGACGAAAAGGCATACCGACAAAACGCTGGTTCTTGGCAATATTTTGTACGTTTTTCCACAAACCACTAAACGGGAATGTTATGTGACAATCACTTCCAATAGAGGATGACGTCAGTGTAACTATCGTCTTTATCAATATATATATGGCCGTGCTTTCGCTTGCTTTCTTCACACGAAACATTAGCCCCGCTTAATTGTCAGTACCTAATGATAGTAACGATGAATTACAGTAAATAAAGAAGAAAAGGAAAATAATAAATAATATCTTCGCACTTGCGATAGCAATAATCATTCAAGATTCTAAAAGTGACAGTGACAATGACAATGACAATGACAATGACGGCGTTTAAACTTGTGCGTTTGCACTTGGCAAAATCAACATGATTGCGTTAATTAACTTGATACTTTTTAGTAAGAAAAATGGCCAGCTTTAATTAATTTATTCAACAAGTCTCGACCGTATGAGAATAAAATGTTTATTACGTGCATTTTGTATGATTATTCTGTAAGAAAACTAATCATGGTATGAATTTTCACAATCTCGTGTCTTCACAATGGCACAAGTCAACATTATAGAATCCCAAAATTGGCCACGTCTCTGTATGGTCGTCAAAAGTCGACGGATTTTAACAAATGTGTGTTACCCACGGCATTTGACAAAAAGACCATGCTCTCATGTGCTGTAACACGAATCAAAAACAAGCAATACATTACAAGCATAAAAGAAACGCACTAAACTCAAAATAGTTGGACAAGCTAAATGACAGAGAAATCGGATCAAGTAGACTTTTCAGGTAACAAATATCGTACATCTCATACATTCTCTTTCCAAAATAGAGGTAAGTTTGCCGAACTGGTATTTTCTTTTGAATTTTCTAATGTCCTCCCCACATTCCAACCTTTCCCCCCCCCCCCGGATTGTCGATCTTCAGAGATAAAAAATATCCTTTTCTCTTTATGGTTAGAATTGGACTTTGTTAGGAAAGGAGGGACAAAGAAGGTTGGAACTAAAGAATTCCCCAGTTTTCCCGTGAGCCAATCAGATTTTCTCGGTGTTCCATTAACTCACTGTATATTCTTTGATGAAAATTTCGTGTGGAAATATCGTCAGAAATCATCTCTAGTCTTGTATATACAATTTTAGGATAACGAATTAATTTATTCTATTGAAAACTGAAATTACTGTACTTTTTTAAATCTACGAATGCCGAATGAATCTATTATTATGAATGACAAGTCTATTATTACAACAGGTTCGTAAGGATGATAACAATGCATAGAAACATAAAACCCACCCCTCTCGCTTAATTCAATAATTCTTATTTGACTACCAATCCTAATCGCTAATTCGACTCACATACTCGACGACAGCATTACCAACTTCTCTTATAACATCCTCACTAATTGACTTGGCGCAAGCATCAAACGTAAAATATAATCGACCATCATATGTCAATGTTCTGACCTCAATACGGGGTGCCTTAACTACAGTTGGCGTAACTGCAAAAAACATATTTTCAACCTTAAGCATATCTTTTCCGTCGTCGTTATTTGCTTCAGTACCACCACTTTCGCCGTCGTTCCTTTCATAACATGTTCCAAGATCTTCAAGCACATATCCGACAAGTAGGCCTCTCCTGCGTAGATCTCCCTTCTCTAACGGTTTATTAGGCAATAGATAATATAAATTGTGGTATGGAATACCAAATTTTATTTGCCGCTCTATATTTCTCTGTGATCGCTTAGCCCGACGAATTCGGCATCGGTTGTTATTCGTGCCGGACGTTCGCGGATGACGGAGGTAGATTAACGAGGAGAAGACCCCATTTACGTGCCGAGAAATACCCAACGATGGTCGCAGATCTATGATCAGTTCACTCAATACGGGCTTTTTTCCATTTTTTTGCGAGATCGACTCTGCTATTATTGTGGTCAACATTGCGCTAGTAGACACTCGATTTCTGTTGCAATATTGAATGAAATTCGCCGTTTCCGCTGGCGTTAACGAGAAGAAACACAGATGCGACTTTCGCTGGTCGTCAGTATAATGCTCACGTGAGTATGCAGATTCTGGTAGATTATACGGTTGAGCCCACAGGATCCAAATGACGAATATCAGCGCTTCTATCAGAAAAGCCACCCTCGATATCCAACTATCGCTGACGCTGTTCATAAGCGACCTTTTCTCTCCATCTCTAAGTTCTTGCATCGGCACAATTACCCACGTCTCTCGTTCAGCACGTTGTAATTGTAATCGGAACCCTCTTATCCAGTTCTGCGTTATTTCAAAGGCGTTCCTCGCATCGAAAGCTGTCGCCAGGAAGCAGAATATAACTCCTACTTTGCAAGAGTTATCACAAGTGATTAATACCATTCTGCAAAGAGATTCGCATGTGTCTATTTCAGTGTCTAATTCACATGAATATTCACGCTGTGTCGTTATTGCCAACTCTTTTTCCGATAACACATGAACATCTCTTATTGGTATATCAATAATATCTGCTAAATCATCAGATTCATCCAGCTCCTGAGAGACAAACCGCCACAATTCATTGAAATATATCAACCGGGAACGAAGTAATGGGTGGTATCTCTGCAACGTTCTCATTGCATTTCTGCTTATGGATTCGATGGCGTATGATGAAGTCAGTCTAGATAAGGTTAGCGTGAATGAAAAGACAATGTTGATGTCATTGCCGCTGTAAAGATTAGATAGTTCTTTAATGTTTAGAGAACGATATTGAGCACACTGTTGTTGCATTGTGCTGTGATGATGGTAGAATGTAAAAATCTATTGAACGATGTGACAGGGTAAAAAGGGGGAGAGGGTTGCTAGATCAATCAACAAGGGTAATTGTAACTATTTACGTAATAAGTTGTGATTATATAACCGAAGACAGTGAAACCGCGATTTCCAGCGTGGCAATTAGCATTCTTTTATATATACTTGTGGACTAAATGCATAGTCGATCTGTCAAACGTTCCGAAACGGGCACCCCAAGTATCCTTTTTCTGAAATTTTTCATGTGGCTTCAGATTATGCCACATTCGTCTATCCCTGTTGACATTACCAATTTGATTCAAACATTTCGGTATCGCACATGATAAATCAGCAGATTGTGCTGACGAGTTTCATATTAGATATAGTTTGCCCAAGAAACAAAGAAACAGCACATTAATGTTACACGATATTTTGAACATGTGTCAACAATGATTGCGACAGCGTACAAACTTTTTAAGCTTCAATTAACGGTTTGCTTATTAACTTAATCGCTGTACTCTTAATGGTCTAGAATTTTAGAACCAGCCTGCTTACACACCTTTTGTTTGAAAATTTACAATAAGTGATAAATAATTTAGTACGTTAATATCAGCGATTTTACAACACTCCATTTTAGTGTCTTCAATCTATGGGGTAATAGTAATACCGTTTTAGCCTAATGTTTTCCAATCTTGCAAGATTCGTGTTTGCACATGGGTTGGGAGAGTGTATTTAATAACTTGTACACAAACTGGGGGAATACTATCCGGTTACCCTGACCGTAGGCAATTTTTTCGTAACAATCTTCTTGGTAGAATAACATTGCTTTAAAATCTGTATTTTCATGCGATTGGATAATGAGATCGTTTTCATGTCAAAAAACGGTACCGTTTAGAGAAGTTTATTACTCAGTTTATTTGCAAGAAATGCAATACTGTTCAATATAAATATTACAAAATTATTCAAGCCAACTAAGACACTGAATAATGCTGAAAGAAATTTATATTCTTTTTGCATTGGATATCATTTAGGCTATTACATGATTGGAATCCAACGCATGAAATCAATTGGCTTAATAGTAGTCGAAGACCAACTTTCTAGAATAAACGAACTGTTGGGATGTGTAAACGTGAATATCGGATAGATATGGAAAAAGTTTTACATTCTTTCGGAAAGGGAAAGAAAGTGAACACCAATCAACAGCCAAACTACAAGTAAAAACGGAAACTTAATCTATTTAGTTTTGCATATTAATATGGCAATTGAATTGCAACAATTGATAATAAGTGTTGGCACTGCATCTAACAAATTTATGCATCAATCGTATTCATAGCGTATAAAAGATTATACAGCGAAATATTTCCATGTGTGTGAGACAATAATGGGTCAAGCGACATGCGTCCCAATTTGAATGGATGGCAAGCCACATTACTGACTAATTTAATATTTATGCGTACGGGACTCGAGTATATTAGTGCCATTTCAGGAATATAGTTATCCAACGTTAATCACAAATTCAAGTGTTTGATAACTTTAATCAAAAATAAAAAGAACGTTGGAAAAAGTTGCGCGCACGTGGACCAGTACGAAAATAACGTGATTACTAATAAATTAATTAAATCATAATTAATCTCATGCCCAAACGACAATATTATTCAATTCGTCTCCAAACTCATCCTTCCATCTCTGCCTTTCCAATTCAAAAAACTCTCTTATTGCTCTATCGCTGTACCGATAACTAAAATGAATCAATACGAATAATGTCGTTTTCATCTCTCTTATGAATGGACTGATTGCTGTCCATGACGTATGTTTTGTCTTGTCTGCATTCTCCTCATGCGACTCGTGCAAGAAGGTGCATTCGGTAATGACTACGGGAACACTAGAAAAAAGGTCCTTGTATTGTTCGAATGGTTTTGTTGTAGTGTCTCCGTTAAACGCAAACAGCGGCATTGTATATGATTCCATAATTTCCACAAGTGGATCGTCCCGCTTGAGGGCTGCGATTTCTTTACCAGAGAGATGTTGAAGTGACTGTTTGAGCCGTTGGCGTTTGCTTGATACAACGTATCCAACGCAGGGTACCGAATGATCCATCTCAGTCACATATAATTCGTACCTATTACCGATCGTTACTGTATCTCCAGGAGAAACGCCATGCGTATTCGAGTTCTTTGGACCATTCCTGTTATATTCAGTTAATGCCTGAGCGGCTTTAACATAGTCGGTCACGAATTCGTGAGATTCTGTCGGTATGTAGACATTCGGTGGTCTGTACTTGGACACGTGGTGCGTTAGATCCAGGCAGTGATCACTATGAGTGTGTGTAATAAACACATGCGATGGGTGAGAAGAGTGTACTTTATGTCCTGCATCGAACAAGAAATCCAACTCTGGGACATAGAATGCAGTTGCGCCGGCAGCGCGTGATGTGCCGAACAATGTCAATTGAGGTAATCGCTGGCCCGAAAGTGAAGTCTTTGGAAATATCCACTTGCGGGTTACAAAAATCTTTGACTCGACGTCAGTAACTGCAACTGGAATGTCAAACGTCATGCTGAAATTTTTAGCAAGGGGGGGGAATATTTTGAATTTGGAAATTTACTCAAATAGGGTGGGTTGAATTGGGCGCTATTTTAACACTTTATTTCCAACTGCGGATTTACTGCGTCCTGAACCGCAGGATCACCAACTTCTGGCTGCGGATTGTATCTGTTAACTTGTAAAACACACAATGTAAGCATACTATGTACATTTCGTCAATAACGTAATGAGACTTTTACTAATCTCTAAAATGATTGGACAACGATAATGAAGACGAAGGCAACGTTTACTTATATTCTATAATGACACACGCTCGTCTTCAGTCTTTAACTCTCAAACTTTGAAAAACACGAGCACTTTTTGAAAAAATGTCATGTATGTTACTCTGTACCACTAGAAGTAGTCAAACATTGTTTGTATGGATGGTTTGACGGACAAGAACAGTTCATTTTATTCCACCAGCTGGCCTTGCATTTCATTTTCTCCAATCGTTAAGCCATGCCGCGAATGCTCCTGAAACAAGGCTCCGTCACTATAGGAGAAGTTATTGGTGAAGGAGCAATGGGTGAAGTGTTCAGAGGGACTTATAAGGGCCAGACGGTGGCTATTAAGAAGAGCAAGGTAGGGGTCGAATGCTATGCCGAAAGATTCAGCTAGTCCTAATGTATGAATTATTGCAGCCTTACCATTTACGCTCAATAATCGAATTGCCCTTCGTTTTTTAATTATTTCTACAGCATGGAACTGACTTGGACACAGCGGTGAAGGAATTCACCTCACATTGTCAGCTCAAACATGACTACGTCTTGAAATTCATCGGCGTCTTAGGGACTACTGCTTCATACTCTCTCGTGCTAGAATATGCTGAGAAGGGAGATCTAAAATCCTATCTCAAGGCTCACACGGTTCCGTTGAGTGTGAAATCCAAGATATGTCATGACATTGCGCATGGCCTTAATTATTGTCACGACCAGAACATTGTGCATTTTGATCTAAAAACGGAGAATATTCTGTTAACAGAAAATTTGACACCTAAAATATCAGACTTTGGCGTTAGTTCCAGTAAGATGGAATTAGGGTTACGTGGTAACAAAGCAGGGGGGACCATCGCTTGGGTTGCGCCAGAAAGGCTGTCTAAGGATTTGGCTATGCGGAATACTTTCAAAGAGTGAGTATTGGGAATATAAATTTACAAAGAGTTTTCAGAATGTGACTAATTTTATTTCCCTTACTTGAAGATACCCTAAACTGTCGGATGTTTACGCCTTTGGGTTAATCATGTGGTCAGGTATATGCTGGCTTGTCTTGTTTTCATCGCATTCGAATTTTAATCTTATTCTAACCGGATGAATATCGTGGTTCTATCTTGACGAATGAAGTTGCCCTTGATGGTAAATGTCCATACGCAAACCAAACGCGTGACGCTATCTGTAAAGAGAAGAATCGTCGAGATCATGCTACTAGGCTTCTGAGTCAAATTCCAAGGGAAATTCACACCACTTATAAAGAACGGGTTGAAAATCTACTCAAATATGAACCGAGAGATAGGGAAAGCTTATTAGTTACGGCCTTAGGACTTGAAGAGCTGTATGACGATGAGGATATATACAAAGAAGTAGCAGTGACACACATGACTTCGCGAGTACTTGATTTGAACTTTCTCAGCGAAGATGAAGACAATGGAGAAGATGAAGAAGATGAAGGCAATGGAGAAGATGAAGAAGATGAAGAAGACGAGGATAACAATGAAGTGAAAGATGGGAAAGAAAACAGTAACAGTGACACTTGCGTTAACGGTAGTGAAAGTGGCAGAAGCACGTTAGTAGATGTTCTAGCTAATGAGAAAACCGTTACACCAAAAGCCACATCAAATGACTATGAAGTAAAACGGTCCGTTTTAGCAGAAAACAAGAACCCAGCAACTCCCGAAACGAATATAGTACAAAGTAGTTATACGACTCCTCCAAAAGAATGGTCGTCTGATAATCTTCTTGCACTGGTGGAGAGTAGTTACGTCAATGGGTTTATAAAATCCAAGGCAGCGCTCAACGTACGCATCAAGACAAATGGTGTTAATGCAGTCGATATTTTTGCAGAGTTCGAGTATTTAGCTCGAAAGTCTACCAGACATAAATTTGCAGTTGGCTGGTTCCACGAGATTGGATTAGGCACAGAGAGAGACAATACGAAGGCTTTCGAGTGTTATAAAGAAGCCGCTGAAAAGGATAATATGCATGCTGCATATAAATTAGGTTTATGTTATTACAACGATTACGATCTGGAGAATGCACGTAAATGGTTGGCGAAAGCCTCTACAGATGGACACCAAAAAGCCAAGGAAAAATATATCGACTATTTTAAATCAGTGCCCTCGTCCGTCTTTTTATAATGAGAATTCACGTCTTTCAATCATGTGTGTACTAATTGTGTATATTAAAACAAAAGAAATGACACAGCAGTGTATAGCATAGCCGCAAGGCTAGCATTATGATTTTTTTTTCTTTGTTCGCGATACAAAAGACCTTACTGTATTATTAATTAGAGGAAGTAATAATGGTGCATGGTGGTATAACCAATAAATAACAGACATCGACTATAGTTAAACCTTTGATCACACTTTACTGTATGTCCTTATATGCTTTGATAGATGGTATAAGATATAAAAGGCCAACCGAAACCTAGCAATCGATCAATAGATAGCACAAGATTTTGGTACTATCATGATTTATCTGTTGAAGGGTTTTGTACTATCATGATTATAGCACAAGAATTTGGTGCTATCATGAACTTTGTGCTTGATAGCTAAAAAATAGAAAGTAACGATAATTAAAGTAACGCGAAATTGTTGTATATAATAATAAAGAGCACTTCCCGACCGTCTAAAATCCTCATTGAAATTGCTGTGTTGAAATAAATAATATTCGATACAGAAGTATTCGGGATCGATCTGATCATTATCCTTCAATTATTACGAAACTCTTTTATTTTATTATTCTATTTCTATCGTCGCGATACTAGCTTTTTGACTTAACTATCTGCAGTAGATCGGTAACGACCCGTAGCTGTGTTAAAGATAGTTGTCAGCGCTAACAACTCGTAGTTGCGGTAAAGCATAAAGAATCTCGAACAATAATTTAATATTTATTGTTTAAATTGGGAAAAGTGACATTTCCCGACTAGTCGAAACACTAAATCGAAGTTCGCCCTAGTGCCTTAAGTGAGCAATTGTAGTAAGGGCAGCGACTCGAGCTAAATTGTGACCCTTTCTCGGCAGAACATACGCAATTTAATTGCTCTCCAAACTCAATCTGGACGCCAACCGTAACAGAAAAAAAGGAAGGATTTAATGCAGGAAAAAAAGCGGCTTTAACGACGCATATGAATGATCTTGAGATTAATGTCAAAACGTACACTGAATCTCTTTTACGATCAAAAAGGATGTGTAATGTGAGAGTTGCTTTAGAGTTTATCAGATCAAAGGTAACATTCTGCATATTTGTTTATGTATTTTGCAATGATTTTTATTATATTTTGTTTACATATTTCTCTCGATAGATTCGGTCACAGGACAAGACTATCTCGTTTCGTGAACCTAAAGACAATATTTGATGGGGCTGACTAAAGATGCAAAGTTTGTATAAATTTTACAGCAAACACGCTCACTTAATAATACTCAATACAAAGATGTCGAAAAATGTATGGGGTGGTCTCTATCCAACTGTATCAAAAAATTTGCACAGTCACGACAATGATATTGAAATTGATGCGTGGGACTGGAGTGTGAATGAAGTACTAGCATTAGGTGTTCTTTTTCATCATTATAATATTCCGTACCTTTATTACAATGACGAGGGGAAATTAACTGACTACCCTTATAAGTTAGTTGATCTATTCTGATAATGAGGTCTTTTCATAATATTAGAAATTTTTTATGTTTGAATGTTATTTTTTTAAACATATGCTAAGATTTGCTATAATTCTAAACTTAAACGTGATAAATAAATGTAATAGTAATAGGGCGAGGTAGCCAACTGATATGATTTTATTGATTCTTACAACACGTTTTCCAAACGCATGTCTACCGTAATGTCAATTGCAAATGAGGATGGTGTGGAAGACGTTCTCGGCGGCCTAAATGCAGCTGTCTGTGTCTCCTTAAATGACAATCTTCGTCACTCGAATGACTTGCATTTCGCATTCCTCAAATCACTTAAATGACATATTAATATAGAATACTAG